ACGGATTTACCAGAATTCAGATTATCCCTGAAATTGAAAAAGTTATCCCCAAAATTGCAAATTCACTCAGAAAAAAACTATCTAGTATTTTCAACATGACTCTATTGCTAGGAACAGGTTCCAGCAGAAAATTGCCAGTCAACTCTTTTCTACCTACATTTCTGGCCCTACAAGATAATGTGTTTATTGCTTCATCCATCTAAAGTGGCTTTTTCAACCTATTTTCTCTTCCTAGCCTGTTGAGAAGAGGGAGTGAGAAAGCAGCTGGGTAGGCATCTGGCAACCAGCCAAGGTCCTCCACCCCATACTTTCACCTAAGTGAAAGACTAAAGAAAAAAGAGTTCTGTGCTGATAACAGTGTTGTAGTGATTCTAATCATAGGTTGATACCGAAATTACCGATGGCTGTATTACAAACGCACTAAAAACATTAGCCTCACACTTCACATCATGCCACTCTACAGAGCCCGGCACAGTCTTGCTCTGTCGCCCAGTGCCTCTGTTTCAAACATGTCCTCAGCACTTGGCCCATGGTACCTTCACTCAGCAGTGTGAAGATAAGGGAAAGAACTTTTTTTTTTCCTTTCCTTAGATCAATGGCAGTCCCCTTCTTCCTTAGCAAACTAGTGGAGAACAGGAGATGTAGTATGTGATCTCCTGTTCATAGGCAACATGCCATGAGTAACATGGGCATATGAGTATAGGGAAAGGGACAGATTCCAGCATCACTGCGAAGCCACTAACATCTAAAGCCCTTCTGGGCCAGTTTTCAGCCTTCCTCCAAAGAAATAGGCAGATACAGGTTCCTACTGCTCCATTGTTCCAGACAGTTCAATTGTACTGCAACACTCAGAGCAAGCATATTTTTCTATTACTGTTGGGAAGGTTTAAATAATGTTACCCACCTCTACTAGCTGGCTCTCTGGTAAAAGCACAATAGACCAACCAACCCAACACAGAAAGCTCTAACATAAAACTGCAGCTGTGCAAATATTCCAGCACTCAAAATGAAATAGAGGTTTTGGCAGACATTTTTGTTCCCCACATGATATCTAGCAGTATAAGAAACATTAAGAGTTTTTAATAGATTTTTTTAAATTTACCTTTTCAATACAAGTAGATAATTTAATACATTCTAAGACACATTGCTAAAGCCTGAATCTTAGACTACCACAGAGCTAACAACAAATTGCTGTA